ACACCTTTGTCCTCTTTAGATACCTGCACTCATACACACACACACCTATACACACCTAATAATAGTAGTATAGGGGCTGAAGAGATGGCTCCATGGTTAAGAGTACTGGCTGCTCTTCCAGGGGTCAAAGGTTTGATGCTCAGCCCCCACGCAGCCAGCAGCTTACAACTGTCTGTAACTCCATTCTCACGGGATCTGACACACATTTCTAGCCTCAGCAGTCACAGGGCATGTATGATGTTCACATACATACATGCAGACAAAACACTCATACACATAGATATATATGTAAATTTAAAAAATAACTGCAACTACTCACAGCAACAGCATGTTTGCCACTGTATAATATGCTTGTGTGTTTGTCTGTGATAAGGTTACACTCTGGCTGGGCGGTGGTGGCTCATGTCTTTAATCCCAGCACTCAGGAAGCAGAGGCAGGTGGATGTCTGTGAGTTTGAGACCAGCTAGTTCCAGGACAGTCTCCAAAGCCACAGAGAAACCCTGTCTCCAAAAGCAAAAAAAAAAAAAGGTTACACTCTGCATTGCTTGTCAGCCTTGAGCTCTCATCCTCCTTCCTTGGCCTCCTGGGTGTTGGGATTACAGGTGTGCACCACCATGCCAGCACCATGACTTATTTGAGCAAATATATACAGGCCCTTAACTTTCTATAGGGAGGAAGCAGTCTAAGAAAGTTGTTTGGCCCTTATGCGTGACACAGATCTAACGCCCTCTTCAGATAAGGAAGGTAAGAGGGAAGGGAGAGCCTCTGGGAGACAAGTCAAGGACCACAAGGAAAAAAGAACTTCAAGCAACTCCCAAAGAACAAATAGGACACACAAAAGATTTCCTACCTCAGGGAAGGAGATCTTGTGCTTAGCTATGAATTGCTATGGCACATGTGATGGAGAGTGGGAGACTGTTCCTTTCAAATAGAAGCATTTACAGTATCATGCTAATGGTGTATACTGAGAGGGGCACATACAGAAAGAATTAGCAAGGCAGGCCTGGGCAGTGCCATAGGACAGGACTGCTTACAAGGCAGGCTCTTGGCTGGCATCTGGGAACCATTCTTTGATAAGTGTGGTTTACTGTGCCCACCTTATTTGTATAATGTCATTTATGCTTTCTTCCAGTCTAAAATTTGGTCAGAGGATAGGCAAAGTGACCCCACATGCCAACTCCCTGTAAAAGCCCTGAGTGCTGTCTCTGATGAGTTTCATTCACTCTGACAAAAGTATAAATGCCACAACTTGAGGCCAAAGAAATAAAGAATGTCCTATATAACTCCACTTCACCCATAAGGCCTCTGTCCTATGATGATTTCTGTGTTATTCACTCTAGCAATCAGCGCTTTAAGAACAATTATAAGATCTGTAAGTCCTTGAGGCAAACGGCTGAACATGGGAGTTTTTGAGGACTGTGACATATTGCAGATAACTTGTATCTTTAGTTCATAAATCTAAGATCAGAATGATGTAGAAAAGATACCTTGAGTTTTAAAACTGATACTATGACAAAATAAGACTGGATGCTTTCCTTAGTGCAGGGGAGGTTATGTTTTGTCTGAGAGAGCAGGGCAAATATTGATGAGGAAAAGGATAAAGTGTAGTAAGATGGTGTTAATATTCCCAACCACTTTCTCCTTCCTTACACAAAAATTACAGGGTGATATTGCTCATCCATAGCGTGAGCCACACGTCCAAAGCCCGGGGCTTGGTCCAAAATGTGATAAATAAATGAATGGAGATAGAAGATTATGTATTTATATCCATGACCATGACACTTCTGTTTTCAGTAGTCACGGTGTGCTTCTGTAACCCATTATCTGGACTAAATAGAACTTGCTTGGACCACTACTAGAAGTACACATGACAGTGGACGAGTCCAGTACAACCCCTAAGGGGCACCTATGATTCTACATGCTCTGCTGCTCTTTTCCTCCATCCCCCATAAAAACATGACCCAAACCAGCCAACCTGTAAATAAAACATGTAACATAACTCAGAAATGTTTGTCATATCATGACCACAACACAGACCATAAACAAGATATAAATGTTTACTGAAAGGTGATACAGTTTAGGGGCTGTTCTATAGCAAAACTCGATTATGTCAACCATGAATTTAGTCTCAAAATATCTTTATATAAGATAGTAGAGTGCAGGCTAGAGAGATGGCTCAGAGGTTAAAAGCACTAGCTGCTCTTCCAGAGGTCCTGAGTTCAATTCCCAGCAATCACATGGTGGCTCATAACCATCTGTAATGAGATCTGGTGCCCTCTTCTGACTTGCAGGGATATATGTAGACAGAACACTGTACATAATAAATAAATCTTTGAAAAAAAAAAAAAAGATAGTAGAGTGCTTGCCTAGCACAAGCCCTAGGTTTAGCTCTCAACACCTCAAAACACAAAAAGCAAAAGAAATAATGTTTGAAAGTTCACACACTTAAATGTTGGAAGCACACTTTCTCCAGCTGGGGTACTGCCATGCAAGCAACCTCCAGATGTACATGACTTACATTTTGGAGCTCTTTCGGGAACCGGGGTCTTGCTGATCTTCTCTGCTCTGGCTTCCTGACTCCCTGCAGTCTTTTGCTTTTTCCTTTGGCAGAGTTCTACAGGTGATCCTTAAGACATTGAAGACATTATTGCAGTGAGTGCATCAATCTTTGGTACCTCCAGTGGATGAACTTTGCTACATGACAAGCAAAGATTACCTACACGGCCAGAGCCCAGTAGAAGCCCCTGAGCCCTGTCTCTACTGAGCTTCCCTGTTGATAAAGCCACAAGTGGCACAACTTTGATACTGAAGGAATCAAATATAATGTCTATGACTCTATAAAGAGAAAGATTTTGGAGTCATGTGACTAAAACAAGTCATGAGACCCATTAGTGCCAGAAGAAACTTTTCCTATCTGTGTCTCTTCCTCAAACTGTCTTTTGTATACACAAGCAAAACAACAACAAACTATCTTCCCTATCACCACCACTGCCACTTATATTTTGAGAGTCCACTTGATAAAAAAGCTTCCAAATTCTTCTGCTGAAATGATGCTTAAAAAAAAAATTATTTATTAAGTATACAACATCTGCCTCCATATATGCCTGCACGCCAGAAGAGGGCACCAGATCTCATTACAGATGGTTGTGAGCCACCGTGTGGTGGCTGGGAATTGAACTCAAGACCTCTGGAAAAACAGCCAATGCTCTTAACCTCTGAGCTATCTCTCCAGCCTGAAATGATGCTCTTTTATAATGTTCCAAAATAAGTAATTTTTTCCCCAAAATTTTAAGGGATATTTTTCACCTTACCATGTCAGCTACCCAAGATTATCAAATCCATCATTTGTAGGTTAACAATTTTTGATCAAAATACAATGTATTAGCCATAAAATTATGCTTTTTTTTTTCTGGTCCCTCTTCTTTTTAAAGGTAAGCTCTTGGGCTGGAGAGATGACTCAGAGGTTAAGAGCACTGACTGCTCTTCCAGAGGTCCTGAGTTCAATTTCTAGCAACCACATGGTGGTTCACAACCACCTTGAATGGGATCTGGTGCCCTCTGCTGGCATGCAGGCAAAAGGCATAATAAATAAATAAGATCTTAAAAAAAGAGAGAGACTCAAAATTAAACAGGAATTTGACATAGGAAACACAGCTTTTTCCTTTCCTAAAATTATCTGTGAGCTAATAATAACTAAAGGATTAAAATGCCCCTGTCAAGTTAATAATGTGACCCAAGTTTTATTTCTCTTCCTTTTTCACAGTTCTGTCTTTCAGCTATAAAACAGGAGACTAAGAAATGGAATCAGTAGCAGTGAGAATGGACTGTTCTCATCAAATAGACAACTCTTTAGCTTTACTGTGAAAACTTAGTAAAACAAATATATTCTAAAACTGTTTCCAAGCAAACTCAAGCTTACTAAAAAGTCTTTAAGATGTAATAAGAAAACAAACTGTATGTTTAGTAGATTCGTTCTCAGTCTAATTCTCAGCTACTTTTATGGCACAATTCCTAACCATATTCTAAATTAACAAACTGTACTCCTCACTCCTCATCAACAAAAGGCCTCTGCACAGAGACCATCACAGAAAACCACAACCAATCAAAATGCAAAGCTGAGGAGCCAGGCCCAATGGCTACATCTACAGGACAACTCTCAGACCTAAGGTTCCAGGAACATTGTGGAAGAGGGAGTGAAAAGACTGTAAGAGCCAGAGGATAAAGGACTTAGCTGTGAGATTGTGTCTCCCAGAAATGTCAGAGGCTAGACCCACAAAGTCTTACCAACATGATAGCCAGAACAAGAGCAATAATGGACTGCCAAAGAGAACAGGGAAAGACTGCTAGACCTCAACTCTATACAAAAAACTAAAAACAAATAAGGATTGCTGAGAATGGGAGAAATGTTCTACCCCAGGGAAGAGCATGCCACTTAAGCAGTCAATAACAAATGGTCAGTCCCAACAGACACACACACACATACACACACACACACACACACACACACACACACACACACACGTTAACATTATACAGACTGAATAGGTTATAATTAGGAATGTGTGTGTGTGTGCATGTAACAACAATTAATGAAAAGGGAGGCCATAAATTTGAAAGTGAACAAGAAAGGGTATATGAGAGGGTTTAGAAGAGAAAGGGGATTAATGTCATTGTATTACAATCTCAAAAATAACAGAAAAATATTTTTAAAATAAATAACAAGAAAAAATTTTTAACTGATTTTTAATGGTGTTTAGTTATATTAAATCTTTGCAGCAAGGCCTGATAGTGGTGGCACATGCCTTTAATCCTAGCATTTGGGAGGCAGAGGCAGGGGGCTTTCTGAGTGAGGCATCTCAGGCCAGCCTGGTCTACAAATCGAGTTCCAGAACAGCCAGAGCTACACAGAGAAGCCTTGTCTTGAAAAACAAACAAAAAACAAAAACAAAATTGACAGCAAAAAAAAAAGTGCAACCTCCAGCACTCCAGAGGCAGGCAGATCTCTATGAGTTGAAGTTCTACAAAATCAGTTCTAGGCCACCCAAAGCTACACAGTAAGATGCTATTTCAAAAGTAAAAAATAAATAAAAATTAAAAAGTACAACCTGGCAAAGAGAACATGTATTTTAGCCAATTCATAAATGTTGTCAATAAAACCAAGTTTTGCCTGGTACTAAAAAACAAAAGCTAAATGAATGTAAATTTCTCACTTCCTTTATATTATTGTTCATGTCACTTGACAATGGAAAGACAAAACTAATGGCATGGGGATGACAAAGTTAGGCAGCAAAGCTTAGACCCTAGGTTTGAGTTAACACTAACCAAAGGGTCGAGGTGGAAAATAGCAAAGCTGAAAGCAATCTCTGGAATGAATTCCAGTTCCCTTTTCAACAGGTCACATTTTTAGCATTATAAAGAAAAAGCTAAACCAAAAGATGATTTCATACTCACAAGAATAATATGCTACTTCAATCTCTAGTCCCATCATCATCACATGAATTAACAGTTATAACATGCTTCTAGATGATCATCTAAAATAGACAGGGAGGGTCCAGGAGAAACGCTAACACTGTTCTGTCAAAGTGTGTAGAATAGACATTGAGGGCCCAGAAGAAACGCTAAAACTGTCTACCAAATCTTGTACAATAGACAGAGAGGGTCCAGAAGAAAAGCTTGTTGCTCCCTTTTTTGCCCTAAGTGTGCCTCAGGAAGTATAAATATAAGCACCAATAAACTTCTAGGGCATCAAGAAAGGTGTTTGGAAGACTATTACTGTTTGAGAGACAGTTGGAAAACAAAGAGGTTCCAAGTACCTGTAAATAATCCAAAAGCTAGAAATAGCACCTGGATTTAAATAAACATATATAGAATGGCCTAATTTTAACATGCATGTTTGCTATAAATATGATCATCACCAGTATCATTACAAAAAAATATTCATCATTCTCTGTCTTATGGCCCAGCACCTAAAAGGGTAGAGGCCTAGCCATGGAATTAAACATTTGTTAAAGGAAACAACATATTTTAATAAAACTGTCACCCACTAATTTTCCCAAATAAAACACATTGGTTTCCCAAATAAAACACATTGATTTTAAAACCAAAAATCACCTATTAGTTTATAGCCAAATAATTTTACAAAATGACATAGTCTTTTAACAATTTTGGTATCATTGCTATTAAACATAATTACATCCTAAATGGCATTTTTTCCATGTTTACAATACCAAGTTTTAGTAGTGTGTATTATTTTTTTCGGATGTGCTTACAAAGGCATGCAAACTGGTTTGTCAACCTTCCCACACAGACTTGTAGCTAACCACAAAAATAAAATTTACAAAAAAAAAAAATCATATGATATCACATTGTAACCACAGGTAAAACTAAGGAAGCAAGAGGAAATACATCCTTCCTTACAAACTACCTGTTTTTGAGGCTGTTTTTAGGTAGTATCTTAAACGAGGATGAATTTTAACACGGAGGACTGTAGGACGAATGGTTAAATTGTGATCTCAGGAACAGGATCAAGTCCCAGTCAGCACTACAGTTCTGATAATCTTTTGAAAAATGGCTTTCCACTGAATTTTGCAAACTCCCTTCTTGTACCCTCTGTTCAACGGCTTAAATCTAAATTCTATGAACTAACGATCACATTCACAACTCTACTGTGTAAGATAAAAAACTTTTCCAGCAGAATGCAGCAAAGCGAGGGAGATCAAAGAGCTCAGTGGTGCATACCCGTACCATGAAGTTACCCTGCCACAGTTACTTTTTAAAACTATGTATCATTGGCTGCTTGGTTTCTTTCCGCTTCCTAGTGTTCTCTCACTGTGTGCATCCTCTCTGGATAAATACTGCTTGCTAAAAAAAAACTCATTTTCTTGACATTGACCCTGTAGGGCATGCAGAGCTCTCTCCAGCCCATTAGTTTTAACCCTAGAGGTGCTTTTTGGCCTCCTCATCTCCCAAAACCACTTGCACGCCCCTGCCCTTTGCGATTCGTTATCTCTCA